TGAGCTTGGAGTGCCGGCTGCAGAGACATCACAGTGTGCGTCCGCGCCTTGCCCCTGGGTCTCTTATCTCTCTTCCAGTTCTGTACCTCCTTCTCCTGTTCTGATTTTCCAGAAGTGTCTCTCCCACTGCTGTGCCCATTCTTCTGGAAGGCCAGGAGCCGCCTTGGGTCCACAATGTTCTCCTCTGGCTCCCAGCTGATATGTTTGGAGGACCAACCGCGTCACTTGACCAGGTACTCCAGCTTGCCCTTGCGGAGCCGCTTGCTCAGGACGCACTGGGTAGCTGTGACCACCCGCCTGAGGCCCCGCCCTAGCCGCCCTCGCCCGGCCCGCCACACAGGAAGCACCGCCCCTCAGTTTTCAATTTCTTAACGTTAATCCTCGAATGTGCTTATCTTTCTCTTTAAAAAGATCTGCAGTTTCACTACTATTTAATCTAATGGGAAATTCTTTTATAGTTTCGATTTCCTTTTTAGCAGCGTCTCTCTCTTTGCAGGCTAGCTGAACTTTCTTGGCTACTTCTGCAATTCTTTGGGTAAACTCATCTTTCAAGGAAGAAATGCTCCTGCTTTCTTCTTTCACTTTGAACATTTCATCTTTTAGGTTATAAGCTTCTTCTAAAAGTGCTTTTTCTTTACTAAGAGATAATAACTGAGCCTCCCCTTTTTTCCAGTTTCTGAGTCAGAAATTCGACTGTCTTGCAAACATCTTCTTTCTCACAAAGTGCTTCTGGCAGACTTTCAACAGCTTCACATTGCTCTACCAGCTTGCCCAAGACAGTATGTCCTTCATTCATAGGTGTAGAAGAAACCAGCATATCTGTCCGTTCAGTTAGCAGGAATTGCACTTTGCCCACTTTCTTCCATTTTTGCTTCCCCAGAAAGTATACTTAATGTTTCATTTTCTTCTTCTTCTTCCTCCTCCTCCTCCTCCTCCTCCTCCTCCAGGTTTTCCTCCAATAGATTCAATTATTTTAGTCTTTGGGGTTGAAGGATTAACTACAATAGGCGCTAAAGCATATCCCTTGCCTGGCAGTTCATCATCTGAATTGATTTTGCTTACACTCCGGTTATCTAATGACTGTACACTAAATGAGTCTTTTCCTTCAAAGGCATCAGATGAGCAGCAGCTCTCATTTAGTTTCTGGAAATCATCTAAACGATTATATTCAGGACAAGCAGATGCAGAGAGAAGCTGGAAAGATGTCTGCATCAGGTGAAGATTTGATTTTGCATCGTAGTCTCTTGCCTTGAACTTTCTGGGCTCTCACTTATAACACTCTCATGATCTAAAACTTCGATATCACTGGTGGTAGAAGCACCTGATGAGAAGGTACTAACAGGAGGAGGAGTATTGCTCTGTATGTCTTCATGTTTTTGTTCCTTATGTTCCAAAGCCACATCCTTGGTTTCTGCTGTCAGAGAGTGTGCAGAAATAGCAGATATAGTTTCTGTAGTTGCCTTTACTTTAGTTGTCTTTTCAGATACTTTCAAACATATAGTTGGCACCTTCCTATCAGGTTCTTTATTAACAGTTTCTTCATGCCGGCCTTCAGTTTTAGATGGAGTAGCTACTGCCAGGCTTTGCTCTGATGCACACAAACAAGAGTCCTTCACTTTTGTTTCAGTTATTTCAGTAGTTTTTGACTGTACAGTGCGTAAAGACTCGTGTAAGGTGCTTTTCACTTCTTCTGGTCATTGTGATTTAGCTGGAGGCTTTAATACCACTAGACTCTTCTGAATGGTCTGGATATCCCTGAAAGAGAGAAAGACACTGAAGAAATGTTCAGATTCATCTACTACAGTCCTCTGAACTGGCTTTCTAATTGCTTTAGGAGAAGCTTTTGATGGACTCTGAGGTTCAGTGTTTGATTTCAACCCCCAAGTTGAAGCATCCCATCTTCCACTGACAGGGGAGCTTATTCTTGCCTCTCCATAGGGAATTGTCTCCACCCAGGTGCTTGGTTCCTCCTCCAGATGTCCAGCACCTTGTCCATGGACTTCTGGACCTTGGACAGGGGCTGCTTGGCAAAGCTGGGACCTGGGAGGCATTGGATTAGTTCATGCTTCCTCCTCAGCCAATAGTGACATTGGCCACACCAAGAAGGCCGGGCCAACAGCCTCAGACCTGGGGAAGGGTGCAGCAGAGCAGCCTCGCCCCCGCGGTCACTCTGCAGGCCCTGTCAGCAGGGAGTCATGGCCCCACCCCAAGCTAGGAGCCAGGAGAGAACCATCTGCAACTCAGGCATAGCTGAGGAAGGACTCTGCCTGCGCATCTTCACTACAGTTTAAAAAGAAACTTATATGTTTGGTATTTATGTAAGTGACAACACTGATATGGATCCTGAAACAGCACTTCATAATAGCAATTTTGAAAACTACCACACAAAATACAGTCTTGCTCACAAAACTGCTCTCACCCAGCTGGATTCACAAGCAGGGGGCAGGCTTGTCCCACAGCTTGGAATCTTGGCTGCACTAGAGGTGGAGCCAGCTTTGTGCTCCCCTCTGCAGCCCTGCTGGCTGCCACAACTCTGCTTTTCTGTGGAATCTGATGAGATCATGACCACATGGAAAACTAGGATTTGTGCACTATGTCCTTGCTTTCTGTTCTCAGGAACAGAGGAAGGATGTTGATGATGATGGGGGTGAACCACTGTCCTTAGGTCTCTGCAGTGTTACAGGAACTGTGTACATGATGAACATAAAGCATGGATGTGTCCTAATTCACAACATCTGGTCTTTCAAGATGTTAAAGAAATTGCCAGTGTACAACCAAAGCAGACCTGTAAACAGACAGTTTCAATACACTTTGCCTTAAAATTCATTAGAGAAAAGCAGGATGTGGTGGCGCATGCCTGTAATACCAGAACTTGGAAGGGTGAGGTAGGAGGATCACCTTGAGTTCAAGGTCAGGCTGGGCTACATAGTGAATTCAAGACCAGCCTGAACTATATAGCAAGACTGTGTCTCAAAAACAAAACAAAAACAAGAAAAGACCCTAAAATTCATAGGAATGACTATTTGTTTTTTTGTTTGTTTATATAGTACTGAAGATCAAACCTAGGACACTTTATCACAGAGCTACATCCTTAGGTTTGTTTATCTTTCTATTTTGAGATAAGGCCTTGCTAAATTTCCCTGGTTAGTCTTCAACTTGCAATACTTCTGCCTCAGTTTCCCAGTTCACACAATTAAAAGCATGAACCATTGTGCCCAGCTAGGAAAACTCATTTCTTTTTGTTTGGTTACTTGTTTTGAGACATCTTGCTATGTAGTTTAGGATGGCCTTAACTCATGGAGATCCTCCTGGTTTTGTCTCCCAAGTCTTAGAAATGCACCGTCACACTCAGCCTTAGGGAAGACTATTCTTTTTATTTTAATAGTAGCAAAGTTTTTATTAAATCTAGTAAATGAAACAGGCTCTAGAGAGTGAGTTTGGCACAAGTAGTGCACTTTGTCTGCAAATACAATATCTAGCCCTGCTTTTGGGGGGGTTCCTGACACATGGAGTACCTTTCTCCATCCTTTGACTTTCAGTCTACAAATTTCTTTTTTTAATTAAATGTGTTTCTTGTATGCAGCATATTGTTGGATATTGCTTCTTGACCCATTCTGCCAATTTGTTTCTTTTGATTCATGAATTGAGACCATTAACATTAACAGTTATAACTGATATGTATTTACTTATCCCTGTCATGTTATTTTTGTGTTGTTGGCTCCCATCTTTCCTCAGCTGTTTAATTTCTTGCTTGCTTGGTGGATTCATTCTGTTGTGGTTTGTGAAATTGTAATCCTCGTCTCTCTATAGAATATCCTTCAGAACACTTTAGAGTGCTGGTTTGGGGTTCATAAATTTCCTGAGGTATTGTTTGTCATGGAAGTATCTTATTTCTCCATCAACACTGAATGATAGTTTTGCAGGATACATCAATCTGAGTTGGAAATATTTTTCCTTTAGGGCTTGAAATACTTCACTCCAAGCTCTCCTTGACTTGAGGGTTTGTGTTGAGAAGTTTGCTATGAATCTGATGGGCTTTCCTTTATGGGTGATTTGTTTCTTTTCTCTAATAGCTTTTAATATTCTGTTCTTGTGTTGACTTTCTGGAATCTTGACTATCAAATGCCTTGGGAAAGACCTTTTTTGATTATGGCTCATTGGAGTTCTATATGCCTCACTTATCTGTATGTCAAATTCTTTTTCCCTGTTTGGGAAGTTTTCTGCCATTACTTCTCTAAATAGGTTTTTTTATGTCATTTGTGCTATCTACTGCTTTTTCATTGATTCTAATCAATGTTCTTTGCATCATCTAGGAGCTGCCGGATTGATTTCTCATGATTCCTTGCTATATTTAAGAAATCATTCTTTTTATGATCTTTAACTGCAATCCTGTCTTCTATATCTGATATACTGTCCTCACATTGGTCCATTCTGCTGCATATCCTTTCAATGGAGTTTTTAATCTCCTGGATACTTGTTTGAGTGCTTCATAGTTTCTGTTTTTTCCTATGCTAGGTGTTCATGGTATCTATTATGTTCCTGAGCTCCTCTATTTTTTTTTTTAATCTGTATCTGCTCTAGCATCAACAAGCATGTCTTTCATTCTGGTCACTATCTCTGTAGTTATCTGAGAAATTATTTCTGCTTTGATTTTTTTCTAGAATCTTGTTCATCTGCTTTGTTACTTCTGCTGTTATCACTTCAGAGAGTCCAGGCAGGTTACTTTCAAATTGTTCCATCTCATTGCTCCCCATGTTTGCCTTTGGTGAGCTGAAAGTCTGGGGGGGTTGCATGTTGTTTAAGTGTCTTCTCATATTCTATTTTATTATTAAGTTTGATTCCTAGGTTGATATTTATAAGTTGCTTATGGGCAAGTAGCTTTATTGCTAGTATTCAGAACCCTTTGGAAATGACTATTTCTCAGAGGTGTCTTCCAGGTGTAGCTGGCTTTTGGGTTTTGAGCCTGTTGCACTATCCTACCTCTTCAATTTATTGGGGATGAGAAGTTACTACCTACTTGGCCTACCAACCAGTTCTTTGGCACTGGCCAATAGTTTGTCTGTTTTAAGATCCTTAGGCAATCTCAGTCTTGGTATACCCAGAGGAACAACTGATTAGCACAATTATGCCACCTTGGCTAAAGAAATAAAATCAACAACAACAATAGCATGAAATCCAGCCCAGAAAATGACAAACTGTGGTAACTCTTAATTTGCTACCTTTAACCATATGAACTAGATTTGTGGTTATATAACAAAACCTAGAACAAACCCCAAAACTGTTGCAGTACATAAGCTCTTATTATGGTGATTTTACCATTAGGGGAGAAGATTTAAAAGGGGTTAGAGAGGAAAAAGCAGAGAAATAGAAGAAGAGGAAGAGATCAGAAGCAAGGCTGGAGAAAAAACTTTAGGAGACTAGTGAAGAAGATAGAGGGAAGATAAAAGGAAGAAATAAAAACAAGAATAAAACAAAACAACAAAAAACTAAAAACTGTATTCTATCAAGTAAAGACAAAACAAGAAACAGAAAGGAGGGGAAAAAAAGAAAAAAGAAACAAATAAAAGAAAAAGTCCAATTCAAGGTGTGTCTCTGCTCTCACTGGTATTGAATGCAGGCAGATAAGAGTTCAGAGTTGAATTGATTAAACCCAGCAAGACAGCCACAGCTTCACAAGGGGTAGTGGATAATTCCAGGCAGCCTGCCCCTTTAGTTCCACTGAAGTTCACACCGTTTTCTGGCTATGAGGCTGGAACAGGATTCCTTGAGTCTACAACTGTCCCTGTGCCTTTGCCAGCTTGAACTCCACTCCCCTGGCCTCCTGCTGACTTGCACTTGGCACCCACATCGAGACACCGAGAGCCACTAGATGGAGTCTGCCCACAGCTGTTCTGAGTTCTGAGATCAGTTGGCCCCTCTCCAGGATGGCTCTCAGCCAATCTTCCTCTCCCAGGTGATGTCTGAACCCGGGTAACTCATCAGCCACTGCAGTGTGCTGCATCCACTCCTCTGTTCCACTGTTGCATTTCTCTGTGGAGGCCTCTTGGATCAGCAGTAGTCACTATGCTTCTGCAGGTCCCACCCACCATTCCCACACTTCAAGTCCAGGCTCTGGAAGAGAACGCTGCTTGTTATCTCCCTCCTCTTCACTGAAGTCTTTCTCTTGGTCCCCGTGTTCTTTCATTCTTACTTGAGCTCTTTTGTGGGTCCTGGGGACCCACTTCCCTCCTTCTTCTCCTCCATGCACCACTATATTCCACTGTCAGGACATCAAATCTTGGAGAGGTTCTTTCTTTGTTGCTCACCACTCCCCCATCTTCCCAGAAGTCTTGTCTTGTCCTTGAGACAGGATCTTCCTCTGTAGTCCACACAAGGTTTTGAACTCTCCAGCCTCTGGCATCAGCCTCCTGATTGCTAGGATTACAGATGAGCACCTGAAGCAAAGTGGAGCTTGGGGGCATGCTAGCACATATCTCTGATTCCAGTGCTTGTGAAGCTGAGACAGGAGCATTGCTGAGTTTGAGCCCAAACTGGGCTAGTTAGTTCAAGGCCAGCATGAAATAGTCAGATATTACCTACAACAACAACAACGAGTAATAGTCAGAGGAGTGAATAAGTGAGTGAAGGTTAGGGCAGCTGGGAGTAGTGGGTGTCATGGGCTGGAGACACCTACTAGACCTGGACTTGAATACTCACATGGGGCATGGGCTGGAAACTGGGTCAGAGCCTACGGTGAACCTATGCCATACAACTGGGCCACTGAGGTCTCAAGTGAAAAGGTGGACATCTATCTATTTACCTGTCTTTCTATCATCTAAGAGTCTTTCTCTCTTTTTCTGGTGATTAACACAGGGCCTTTGCACTAAGCTACATCCCCAGCCCTTTTTGTGGTTTTTACTTTGAGACAGGGTTTCAATAAGTTCCTACATTGCTTGGGCTGGGCAAAAACATGAGATCTTCTTGTTTTAGCCTCCAAGAAGCTCTGGGATCACAATTAGGGTTTTTTTTTAACATGTTTTTATTCATTCATTTATTTAATTTAAAAAATGTATTTATTTATTTGGCTCTTTTGAGACAGGGTCTCACTATGCAGTTCAGGCTGGCCTTGAACTCACTATATAGTCTAGGCTGGTCTCAATCTCAGTCTCCTCTTGCCTCTGTATCTTGGCTGGATTACAGGACTGTTTACACCTGGAATATAGCCCTCCATGAATTGAGGGAGAATGTATGAAAACCACATTAAATTTTTCCACCCTTATGAATCCTGAACTTCATGACACTCATGCAGGGTTCACAGTATCATGTGTTACATTTCCTACATCCATCGTATTCATATTTTTTAGCCTGCTAGTGTTCACTTACCCAGACTTCCCTCTTCCTGACTAGAACTTGACACTGGAAATGTTCAAGCCACCTATAGTCAGTCAGCAGATACTGCCACTTGCCGGGCTCCATGCTCAGCTGTGAAGCACAGGGTTGTAGAGTGTTACTGCCATTTATGAGTCAATTGTAACAGGAAAATTTGTCATTGGAAAAATGACAACATATATCCCTAGTACATCACCCAGCAATGGGACTCTTAGGTGTTTATCCAAGTAAGCAGATCTCCACTCAGATGTTCTCAGCTGCTCTCATCATCACTGCCAGTGTTTGGAATTGACCACTTATCCTTCAGTGGATGAATGATAACTAAACTCTGCTCTATCCTGACAATAGAATATCATCAAGCAGTGAAAGCATGTGGGCATCACAGGTGCAACCCCAAGTGAACAAAACCAACCTGGGGCTTTCTTTCACACATTCTGCAAACAGCCACAATAATAAGCAGGGAGGCAACAGATGTCCCCAGAGAAGGAAACAAAAGGGAAGGGGGCTGGGAGTGTAGCTCAATGGTCGATCACTGGCCTAGCATGAGTGAGGCCCCAGGTTCACCTCAACACTTGAAAAAAGGAAAGGAAGGGTCTAAATGGCAACATGTTATTTTGATGCCTCAAGATCCTACAGCCTATCCTCATGGACACAAGACAATCCAATGGGTTTTTTTCCTCCAACTGTTGGACTTTGCTGAGGTCAAATTGAAAAACCAAGCTGGGTGTGGTGATGCATGCCAGTAATCCCAGCTGTCTTGGAGTTTGACACAGGATTGCAGGTTCAAGCCTAGCCTGAAGAACTTAACTACTTGGTGAGACTCAGTCTCCAAAAATGAACTTGCAAATAGAAGACGACAAAGAGATGGAAGGGGTGGGAAGGGGACATAAAAACAGGATGTTTTATGTACTTGTACCAATGCCCCATGATGAAAGTGTTCATTTAGTACTGCAAACATTTACACAGAAAAATGCAAAAAATTAAAAGGGCTGGAGTGATAGCTCAGTGTGAAAATCTTGAGTTCAGTCCCCCAGACTACCAAACAAAAACAAAAACAAAAACAAAAACAGAGGAAGAAAAGAAAGCTTCCCTACCCAAGATAACTATCATTAGTATGCAAGGCAAACATACTAAAAGAAACAAAAAAGTAATAAATGCATAAATATACTGGAAAATCAAGTCACTGGGTCACCACAAAAGAGTTTACATTGAAGTTCCCTTTCTTTGTTTATCTATTTATTTATCTTTTAAATAAGGTCTCACACTATGTAGCCCAGGCTGGTTCTAACTCGAAGAGATCCTCCTGCCTCAGCTTCCAATGTGCTGAGCCTATTTTACCATAACTGGCAAAGGTCCCTTTATGACCATTTCTTGACAGTCACCTATGCAGAACTAACTTCAGACATGCACATGTCTTCATTACTTCCCTTGTCACTGGTACACAATAGCCAACACTCACAAAATCAAAGAGAAAAGCTTATTTTGTCTTACAGTTCAGGTCATAGGCTGGCATGGTAGAGGTACACAACAGAGGAGAAACAGCTCATGGCCTGGCTGTGGGAAGCAGAGAGAGATTAACAGAAGAGGTAGGTAGAGCCTTCTAGGTCATGCCCCCAATGACCCACCTCCTCTGACCAGGCTTCACCTCCCAGCATCACAGATAGCTATGGACTCAGTGGGCTAATCCACTGGTGAGTGTCATGTTACCACGATCCAATCACCTCCCACAAATCCTACCTGTGGGGCTTTGGGGGGACACCTAGATTTAAAAAATATAGACTCTGGGTTGTGGATGTATGAACTATTGCATCTCACTGTACTTTGATAGGTATACTCCTCTGTGACTTTCCAGTTTCCACTGGGTCCAGTCTATACAGCTGGCAAATCATGCACCAATCACAGGAGAAGATACAGATCTGGACCCTAAGAGATGGCCACATGTCCTTCAGTATCTGTGCAAATTCAGCACAGACTCGGGGAAATTGTTCAGGGTGCACAAACTTTGCTGGAATCTTGGACTCATAGCTCTCCAGGGGGACAGGATACAGACCGTGGGTTAACTGGCTCAGCCCCACACACACGTGCAGCAGGACCTTAAGAATGCCCAGGGAAATGTGGTTCCTATAGCAACTTAAGGTCTTGAGTTGGGAGCAGTGCCTCAGGGCAGGCAAGATGGCAAGGATATGGGAGTCTGTGATGTCACAGTTCTCTAGGACCAGGGACTACAGGGTGCTGGCCAGTTTGTCTAGCAGAAAGTGGAGAGTCTGTGGGTTGAATGACTTCACTGAGAACTTCCTCAGACTCAGGGACTTCAGCTGGCTTGTGCTTCAACACCAGGACAGATGCTTTAGGACAGATTCTTTCAGTGGACTTGAACTCAAGGAGAGGGCCTCTAAGGGGGTCTGGCTCCTGGAGAAAGAGAGGTAGAGAAAACTTAATTGGTATGAATTGGGGTGATGAGGGGGGAACATTAGGAAATGACCTGAAGGTAGGAGAGTCAGTGTAGACCCAAGGTTGCTCTCACCTGGATGTTCAGTGTTGAAGGCACTGATCTTTTAAGTCACCATCTTGCTGCTTTCTGCCTACCCTGCAATGGACTGTTTCTTCTTTGCCATGCATTTGGAGCTGGCTATGAAACAAAATCCCTATAAATTGTAAGCTAAAATAAACTTTTCCTCTTTTAACTTGTACATGTGTGGTATTTTGTCCTAGCAATGGGCAGTGCTCCCCATCACAGTTGCTAAGCACAATCACTTGTTCAATGTGCATGTGTGAGGCCGTCCCTCCTTTGATACTCTCTCTTGCCTCTTCCCAACACCTTAAACTAGACATGCTTCCTATAGAAGAAGTCACAGCTGCCCTCACCGTGTCTGCTCTCCTACTTCTGGCTTTCTGGGCATGGGGCCTGTGCCAGACCTCCTGTCCAAGTTTAGTCCCTGTCTTCATAAAAGTCAATATGTGAGACCTTAGCATGGTCCAGAATGGACCCACTTCCTAGTATTCTCACTTCCTAGCATTCCCCACACTGCTGGCAGCTTGACACACAGATGCTTTCTTCATATTCACTATTCCCTTGTATGTGCAGGTGAGCTCACCACACACTCACCTTAAGATTTTATGCAGAGTTCCTTCCAGGAAGAAGACAACATCTATACAAAGCTCCAGGAGATTTTGCATCTGTCCTAAGTGAAAAGCATAGATGGGGAAATCCCATTTGTTTTTCCAGGCTGAAGTATACACTTCTGGGCTCAGGCTACTGAAGTGAAATGTGTGAAGGTTCATCATCTTCTTGAGCTGAGGAACAAATGCTTCATGCTTTCCCGACCCCAGTCACTGAACACGTCCAGCTCCTGGATAGAGTCCAGTTGCATAGCGCGAAGAAGCTTCAGGAATGTAAAGACACCATTGGAATTGATCATCACCTTCTCACAGCACAGGAGTACTAAGCTTTTCTCTTCCTGGCCCACTTCAAGAGACAGAGTTGTAATTCATCACAGGTGGCACAAGGCCTAATCCAGGCTTCAAAGCAAAGGTATGCGAGGATTGTCAAGGTCGGCTTCTTCTTCCTCAACCCAGGCTTGCCTGCTTCCTTACTGCTGGCCATCTTCTGAGCGGGCAGCACTCACGGCTCTGGGTCCTACAGTCCAGAAGTCCTGGTGTACATCCCTCCAATCCAGCACCTGCAGACTCCACCTCCTATGAAACAGGAAGCCTTCTCAGAATTGAGGTAAAGACTCAACTTACTACCCATGCTTTTCTTCCACATTCTGGGCATCTGCTGCTCCCACTACTTTCCTTGCCTTCCATTTTCTACCCCTTTAACCCATCTCTGAAGCTTGATTCAACTTCTAGTTCCTGTGCGAGGCAGGTGCAGGTTCCTACTGAATTCATCACATCCCCCACGTGGTGCTTTCTCATCAGGAAACCTCTTACCAGGTGGCTCTCAACAAAACCAAGACCTCTGTGATCTTCCTCAATAAGAAAAGCTCCTCCACACTTCAGTCTTCCATGTCCTTAACACCAACTCTCCCTTCCCTGGCCTCCCAGAACCCTCCTTCCAGTATTCATGTATCACTCTTACCTGTGATGAACCTTCTGGGACAGCTGCATGTCAAGTCCATCCAGTAGGGCTTCCAAGGTCCATAGGTTTCTCTGTTTCAGTGTAATTTCTCCCAGCTGAGGGTGTGGGGTTTTTGGTTCCCTCAAATCCATCAGGCTCCTCAAAGGGAGGCAGGGGAAAGGCCAGGCCTGCACCATCACCTTCAGGACCTCATTGTGTTCCCCCATGAAGGCCTCTATGAATATTTCATGGAAGATAAGGGTGGGCAAGTCATGCAGAGCACTGCTGGTTGTGGTCTCACAGTTCAGCAGGTTCTGCTTGGTCAGCTCATACAGAGTCAGTGGGCTCTGTGTAGTCATCCTGAGAAATCTGCAAGGAGAAGAATCCCAGGTCACACACAGGAAGGGACATCCATTCAGGCCAAGCTCAAGAGCCTTCTTCTGACCGATTAAGAGCGACTCAGGGGCCAAAGTGTCTGGTCTACTATGGAGGGTGCCTTCTCAGTTTACCCCAGTATTTGACTTAAGTGGCCCCAAATCCATACCTCTGCCCCTGTTGGCACCAGGACATCACTACCCTATCCACTTCAAGTCACCAATCCTTTGAACTCTCATCCCTCTGGAAAGTGGGCTCAGGGCATTATGACATCTCAGCCCCTTTTTGTTTGGGAGGTTTCTAATCATTGCTCCAAGGCCCTAGAATAATAGCAGTGGAAGTGTCTTATGGCCCAACCACTTTACCAGCTCCATTCCACCCATGAGGGCACCTGGGAGATAATAGGGAGACTCTGCAAAATGGATTTTGTCATTTTCATTTTAAGAAGTGTAATAAACAGTTATAACAGACATGCAACATTGCTATAGAGTATGTGGAAGTTAGACATGGAAAATACTAACTCTGGTGTAGGTTGTTAAAACTCTTCCACGCATGACACCTTATCACTTGGTGATTGAGTGCAGGGGAGAAAATAGATCAAAACAAAGTCTCTCCCTTAAAAATACTGCAGAGACTTGGACATGTTAGAACCTATCTATCATCCCAGCATTCTGGGAGGCAGAGGCAAGAGAATTCCAAGTTCAAGCCCAGCCTGTACAATTTAGGGACTTAGCGAGAATGCCTTGAAATGAATTCTAATGAAAGGAAAAATATGTGTGGGGAGGTAGGTCAGTTGAAAGGCTGTGGTTTAAAGCCCAGTACCACAAAAAAATTGCCAAGTGTGTTGATGGTTGATGATTGCCTGTAATTCCAGTACTCCACAGGCTGAGGGAGAAGAATCAGTCCAAGTTCAAAGACAGCCTGGCCTTCATAGTTCAAAGCTAGCCTGAACTACTCAGTGAGAACTTGTCTTATGCAAAACAACAACTACCAAAAACCACCACCACCACCAACAACAACAAAACACAACAAAAACAAAATCCTGGTGTAAATATTATATATAGTTCCTCTTTATAAATTGGTGTGCGTGACCATGGGTTGTATATGGATTTTGCACAGTGACAGCTTGAGTACTTTTTTTTGAAACAGAATCTCACGAAGTTGTCCAAGATGGTCTTGAATTTGCAATTCTCCTGCTTCCACCACCAGAGTAGGTAACATTTCAGACATAGGTAAACATACCTGGCTATACAGAATGTTTTCAAGCTCCCTTTTTAATGCTTTTGTTTAAAAACGGGATTTTCATATATAATTCAGGCTGGCTTCAAACTCAGTGATACTACTGCCTCAGCCCCTTTAGTGCTGGAATTACAAGTGTGCACCACCTCACCAGGAATTGTTTTTCATTGTGTCGGTGGGGACTGAACTCAGGGGAAAGTTCATGTGAGGCAAAATCGCAAACCAACATCCATGAACTACCATTTAGGAAATACAAACTCAGTATTTCAATAGTGAAAAAATAAACTTTCATGCAAATTCCTGTAATCCTAGCACTCTGGGAGGCTGACACCCAAGAATCCCAAAAAGTCAACTTCAAGCCAAAACTGGGCCATTTAGTGATTTAGCAAGATCATGTCTTAAAAGTTCTGGTGATGCAATTCAGTGCTGCAATGGAGAGAAGGCATGAGAAAATGTGGGATGGAAAGGTAAATGGAGGGAGGGAAGGAGAGAGAAACTTAGCTGGATGAAGGAGTACAAGCCTCTAATGCCAGCCCTTGAGAGATTGACAAAGGATGAAGAGTTCAAAGTCAGCCTAGCTGAGTTAGGAGACCCTGTCTCAAAACAAAAACAGCAAAAACAAGGTATCAGGACATGTTACCTCTGTCATATCACATCCCTGCCTTCAGTCCTCAGTACCGAGAGAAAATAAAACCTTATTCTTTTTTCCATTCACTCTGATAGGTTCAAACTTTGAGCCCTTGGCATTCTGGTGAAGAGCTCTACCATGGAGCAACATCCTGTGGGCTGCTGTTAAAATGCTATTAGAGAAACCTTGGGTGGTGGGGTAGCCTGCAATCCTAGCATTGGTGAAGCTGAGGCAGGAGAACTTCTAGGGCAGCCAGGGCTATATAGTATATACGAGGCTGAACTGCATAGTAAGAATCTTTGTCAAAAATTTTAAAAATCAATGAATAATAATAAAAAAGGTCAGGCTAGGCTTGGAGATCCACTCCTGTAACCCCAGCATTTTGGCAAGCTGAGTCAGGAGACTTCCAAGTTGCAGAGCAGCTGGGATGACTTAGTGAGACCCTGTTTCAAAACAAATAAAACAAAAATGGTGGAAGAGGTAGCACAGTGGGAAGTCACTGTGGAACATTTGGTACAAAAAGTTCTGCTATTTGGTCCAGTTTCATCCTGGGTGGCCTGGATCCTCCCATTCCCCTGCTTTAGCATCACAAGGAATTCAGAAGGACCACATGGGTGACCCCGCAGAGCTTTGAAGAGATGGCTTTTGATTAAAGAAAAATATAAGCTATGGAAAAGGAAAGAAGGGAATGGAATTAATATGAGAAAATGAAAAGATGGAAACAAAGTCTTTGTAAATGGGGAGGGGTGGAGGAGTTGAAAGGAGGGCAGGGGAATGGGGAAATAGAAGAGCCAAGATATATCATGCAAAGGTACAAATTCCAATGATGAATGTCATTATATTGTATACCTAAAATGCACCAATAAAATTAATTTTAAAAAGAAAACTATAAGCTTTTTAAAAAGTAATGCAAAGGACAAAGCCAAGTGTGGTTGCACATGCCTGCAATCCCAGCACTCTGGAGGCTGCCCCAAGAGGATCAGTGTGAGTTTGAGGCCAGTCTGGGCTACAAACTGATTTCAAGGCCATTCTGAAGCACAAGGTGAGACCTTGTCTCACAAAAGTTTTGAAATGGCATAAACCAATACACAAGCCAAGATATAAGGCTGAAGGCAAATTTACACATTTAGAATGAAAACAATACTCTAACTCTGACTTAGTACATCCAGCCATAGTCATAACGATATGGGGGCTGAGGCAGGACAATTGAGTTCAAGGATACACCAGGCTACATAGAGTTGAAATCTAGTTGGGCAATATAGCAAAATCTTGGTTCAAAAATCAATTAAGAAAAAAAAATTTAAAAAAATCAATTAAGAACCACAAAATTCCAAACCTATCCATCTGAAGAGACGGAAGTCACAGAATCCTCCCTGCCATCTTAGACCTCTGTCCTCACAGGACACTGGCTGAGGGTGGGCAGGAGGGGCATCCTCATGAAGGGCACTGACTCACCCAGGTAGAGATGGGGATGACGGGGCTCCGGGATCCTGGCAGGACTGGGCGCTGACTGGAAGCTCCAGGACTGAGCATCTCCTCAGCTCCTCTCCTGCTTTAATCCCCCCTGTTAGCAATACCTTACCATCTCAGCTCCTCCCTTCCCGTCACACTCCGATCCCTGAGGGTTTCTCCTGCTCCACCCAGTTAATTCCCATGGGGTTTAGAGTTTTCTGCTTGTTGATTGGTTTTAACAAATTCTAGAGAGGAACTGAGAAGAATTTAGGAGAGAGTGAAAGTCAGGGATTTAGTCATTGATTCACTCCACAAACACCAATTCATTGTTGCTAACATGTGGCAGTCACAGGTGAGAGTGTGAAACAGGAAAGGAATTAATCTGTTCCTGATTTGGGCAGGAATTGTCCCATATTTTCACTCTGTTCCAGAGTTAAAACCACTCTACAGTATCAGGGTGCTGTGCCCGAGGCTGAAATTCCAGATTCTTTGGAAGCTGAGGCAGGATGATCACTTGGATGCAGGACTTTGGGTCAAGCTGTGCAACAAAGAAAGGATGCCCTTCAAAAAAGCAAATGGAGCAGGGCGTGATGGCCTATACCTGTAATCCAAGTGCTCTGGGAGGCTGAGGCAGGATAATGACAAGTTCAAGTCCAGCCTGGGAAATTTAGTGGGTAAATAAGACCCTCTCTTAAAAATAAAAGAAGGGCTGGGGATGTAGTGCAAAACTCATTCAGTGTAAAAACTCTGTGTTCAATCACATTATTTCAGTTCAGAAATTTAAAAACCATGGTATGGACATCCAGGCATCTCTATATATCTATGTACACTGAGCCAGCACGTAAGCTCCACTCTCTGGTGCTACTCTAGGAGATAATCAGTTTTTTGTGGTGCTGGGAGTGGAACCCAGGCCCTCCCACATGCTACCCCAGCCCTCTATTCTCACCTGAATTATCAGAAAAATATCATTGTTTTAGAAAATAGATCTATGAAAGTCCTTGTAGCTTTGAATCTTCTAAAAAATGGTTTTAAGCACAGGGAAATGAACACAAATTTGATGTCATGCCAAAGGCCTGGTGCATGAGACTCCACACTTTAATGTCTAAGAGAGGCACCAGAAGCTGTTGGATGCCAGGCCATCCCTGGTTGTTCTGTTGTTCATCTCCCTGTCCCTACTTTACCAGCAGAGTAGCTTGGAAGTTGCAAATATGCCTTCTTCACCTATTTATTTATTTAGGTTTCTTGACACAGGGTTTCACTATGCAATTTAGGCTGGCCTGGAACTCAGGCTGAGGCTGGCCTCAAATTTGCAGTAAACCTCCTGTCTCAGCCTCCAAAATGCTAGGTTTATAGGTGTGGGCCACCAGCCAAGGTGACTTGTTTGTTTCATTTCTGGATTTTTAAAAATTATTTTTTCTTTAGCATTTCCTGATATGGAAGACTCAACTTCTGGGCCAAAAGCGACATTTATTCTATTTGTATAGGGTTACCCTGGATTTGAAAATCAGAAAAGAAATGAATGAGATCTTTCACTTGTCATTTTTCTTTTTCTTTTTTTCCCCTTTGGTTTCTTGAGACAGGGTCTTACTATGTAGCTTGAGCTGGCCCCAAGCTCACAGCAATCTTCCTGCCTCAGATTTCCAAATGCTCAGATTACAAGCATGTGCTACCACAT